ATAAATAGAATACATACTATTTCTTAACATTTATAAATGTAAGTGTTATGAATGTGGTCATTCATTTACATTGTTTATTTGATGTTAAAAGTTTATTTAGTGACAATTACAAAATTATCTACTTAAAAAGCACCTAGAGCTGTAAATTGACTAGATAGAAGTAAATCTGTTGAATCAGCAATAGAATAACTGACCTAATAAATGTCATTTTAGAAGAATCTACTGTACCATCTCTTGGCCTTATTTTCTGAAAGCTAAATTCTTGGAGGCATTGCTAGCCTCTGAAATTTGACAGACATTAGTCATTGATAATTGCATTAGGGAACATTTTCATGGAGTAATGTGAAATCACTCAACAGTGCTGCAACCATTAGGATTGCATTTCGCTATGTAACAAATGGATTAGAATGCTGCCTGGCAGCTTCAGCTTCTCTCCTGCATCAGCTTCAAATTTGCTTCCCTGATTATATGAGTTGGAGATGCACAGAGCCACACAGACAGACTCAGTACCTCCCACGCACCCTCTTGCCATAGCACTCTGGCAGATGCCAAAAAAAAAAGAAACAAAATGAAAGAACTGAGATTCAATTTGTAATTAATGAGTATATGAGCAAAGATAGGTTATTGACAAGATGTTGTTTGTCTGAAACATGTCTGGTACTTTGAATAAATCTCGATCTCCTTATCTCTAGTCTTTGTGCAGACTTTAACATTTCTAAAAGCTTGGAGTGACAGGGGACATATCCCAGGAATGATCTGAACTGTGACATCTGAGATCTTGAATGGTGTTCCAAGATTGTATCGTATGATATCATTTAAAACATTTTCCTTCTTGAATTCAGTGCACAGACCAAAAAACATATTTTACTTTGGTCGATCTCTGTTCTGACATATGAAACCATCTGCTATTTCTTGATTAAGTCGAATTTGTATTTACTTAAATCATTAAATCATTAAGTGTTTGTCGTCATATGACTGGCTGTAGTAATAATAATTAGAGATATATCGGTCCGCAGAAATGGTGCCAAATTGTTTTCGCTTCATTCAGATTTGTTTTGAAATTCCAGATTTGAGATTATGTATTGATACACTTGCATGTATCAGGTGTAACAGGTCACAAAATGTCTACAAATTGATGTCATAATTTCAAGGCAAATGTAAATCAAACACATTACTTTAATAAAACTCAAAAGGTGTATAAAAGTAAATATTACGCCAGAAAACTAAATATAATCTTATTTTTCTTTGATTTGGGTGTAAAATTGTTTAATTGGTAAGAAAAGGAAAATGTAAAGATTGTAAAATAATTAATTATTTGTTACATTAAAGATTTTGTTGTTCTCACACAAACATGTTAGGTTAAAAAATACTGTACGTTCTCTTTTCAGCAAATCTCTTTTAAATTCCTGTTGAGATGGTTGAGAAGAGGTATAAGTCCTTGTAGGTCTTCTTGTTTGATACTCATGGGTTCATGAAGAGCACAATAAGCATTCGTGGAAACATTTTCTTTGAGTGTATATTACTAACCTTTATTTTTTGTCTTTCTTTCAGAAAACGGGACATTCTAGTCGAACATTTGGACGGTTTACCCATGGTGTGTTTGGGTTTATAGATAACAGGTTATTAGAACAGAGCTTTTATGAAATCAAACTTTATTTCAGCTAAAGACGTGCTTGGCAACTATTACGTTTAAGGACATATTTGAAATAATGAAATATTTATTTTTCCACGTAGGGTAAAATATTATAAGAAATACAACTGGAAAGCATAAAAAGTAGTACAGTAAACATTTACAAAAGCTTTTGGTGAATAAAGTGCCTTATAAATGGGATTCTATAGCTTTAACTGAAAAATTCAATACATTTAAGAGAGCTCAGTCAAGATAAAACTACATTCCTCTTTAAAATTAAATTATTACATACATTCCGCTAATGTACTAGGTCTGAGTCACAGACATATCATTTGTAATGTCTATAGTATAGCATCACATAGGCTATAAAAAATGGATGCTGGTCTCTTGAGGACATTTTGTTCATGAATGAATGTGAGAAACCACCTTACAGATGCTATGCAAGCACAATAACCAACCATTATTATACCAACCCTGCAGTTGTATAACAGTCCTGTGCTGGAATGGTATCAAAGATTCCCTTTGCATAGAATGCTCTGTGCTTGATATATGCCTTGACAGAATTTTACAAGTTTCAGTGTATCATTTTTGACCAAGATATCCTATAATTCACTTGTTAACACTTATTTTTACAAAATCCTAGTTAACAAACTAAGATTGTGTTGCTCTATGGTTGATAACAGCTACATAATGAAAAGAAAGCATTGACCAGTTATTATTACAACATAAATTTATATATTTATAATGCAATGTCCTTAAATTTAGTTGTGGTCAAACACCTCTTTTCGTTTGCTGTATTGTTTCATATTCTGTGTTTCATTTCATTTTAAGTTGCAATAAAACATGACATTTCTTTGAAACATGCTGAGTGTTTTTGTTCTTTTTTAATACAGTTTATTATTCCAGCATCCATGAATTTGGTAATTGCAATTATATTTAATGTATTTCGGGTTAAGGGAGACCTTTTCTGTATCATGTGTTTTTTGTAATTAAAATGTATTTGGTAGTATATCATTATTGCTTGCAAATTTTGTAGGTGATTGCTCTTCAATGTGTTTAGAAAGTGGACATGATGATTGCTGATCTTAATGCACTGAATAATTCATTGATTTTGTGTTGTGTTCCAGACATCATCTTTTCATAAAATTGATTTAGAAACCTTAAAGTATTTTACTGAAGACTACATTGTGAAAAACACATAATGACATGAAATGATCACTGTAGGTGCTGTGCAATACAGAGTTTAAGATAATATATCTGATAGGTTAATGAGCACATCTCAACAAAAATAGGTCTTGTACAACTGTACTTCAAATACAGCAATATCTAGAAAATAGCAATATATTTTTGCATTTAATAGAGCAAGGGTACAGCTTTTATGTGAAACAGTTTTGGAGCTTTATCATCTGGTAACTTTAAAGAAGGGAAAGCTAATTCTTTAGAAAAATGGATTACATATATACAGTACAGGATGCTAAAAGCATAATAAATTGTAACTGTAATTCTGTCTTTGTTTCATGCACGTATTGTTATAGGTCAGTAACAATTGGTTACATACTGGCTTAGCCTAGTTCTATAGAACTACTAGTCTTCTGTTAGGCATTTTCGAGCTAACACTATACTGCTGTGTTGTTTAACTCTTAGTATAACTGTGGACCAGAATTCCTTCCAGAATCTACTGAATGAAACTCCTAGTTCAAATATTGTTATATAAAATGTTTCATTTCTTAATTTGAATAAATTTGTGTTTTTATTTCTACTCAGTCAAAAATGTGCTTTTTGATACAGGCTTGAGAAATTATAACATTTCCTATATTTAACACATATTTTGAACCCATTGTGTATGACACGAAATAATTTATGTAGTGCTCCATTGCTAATAAATGTGTCTGCAGTGGAATGCAAAAAAACACCCTTAACAGGCTTGAACTATTCAAGTGGATCTTTTGAAATACAACACATGCAAAGATGCTTGTAAATTTTGAAAACATTTGATGCAGTTAAAAAATCAGTTGCATTCTAATATGGTTTGAAAAAATAATGTAGTTCTGTAATAGTACCTTTTAATGAGTTAGTAGTGATTTTGCTCCAAAATATTAATGTGTGCTTCTCAGATGTAGCATATACCATATATCACATATGTATGATTTAATGAAAGGAGTAAGCAAAACATTTTTGATATACTAAAACAAGTTTTTACAGAAGACTCAAAATGGATGCAAGATATATTATGGAAGTCCCTGTTAATAAAATAAAACCTGTCTTGAGATATGTTATTTCTGTGTCCTATAGATGAAACTTATAACTCAGCCACATCAATGTAAAATACCAGCCTTGAAATCACAATAACAGATGAAATTATCCTAAAGTTAGTTACCTTTTTATTCTTTTTAGCAGTAACTAAAAAGATGGATGGTGAACATACAGTACACAGCCCTACTGTAAATTGTCCTATCAAGAAAATAAGTTAAATGTATTTCAGACATCTATTTTAGATAAAGTTATGTCTAGAGCCACATGTATTTTGAAGACAGAGTGTGCAATAAATACATAAAGGCAGCAGTGTTAGCACACAGTACAGCACAGAGCATGCACCCATTAAATCAGTGTTAAAGCAGAAATACCTTAGCATAAGGGCTGGCTGTAAAGAACAGTCATCCCTTATCAAAGATGCCGGGCCAGCAGTTTTCTAATGAGGGTCGGGTGTGCAACTGATTTACCATGTGTGTCAGGAACATTGGTTACTATAGTAACAGTGCTCTTCTGTCTGCTTTTTCTTGCTGCCACTATGGAAGCGAAGTTTTCCGCTCCTGCAGGAAGCAAAGTTATGGTAATGGATCTCTTTGCTATCCGTAATAACGGACCATGCATTCTCATCTTCATTCCTCCTTATTTTTCCCTGATCCCCAAATCAGTCAGCTTGTTCTGCTGTGGTATAGAATATTATGTATCCAGTAAGATATGGGATTTGTAACCTTTCATATACCATTCTTCTTGTTTTTCTTTTGTTTTCTTTCTACTCTGGAAAATTAATTTGAGGTTGATTTCTCAGTTTGGAAGGACGGGACGTTGTCTATGTCATTTTTGCAGAAAATGTCAACATGAACACTTGCTTACTTTGGAACAGTCACTGCTGACTGCATTTAAGATGAGCTATAACACAGATCACTAAATGTAAAACGTTATCGCAGTGCTTTCCATACCTGGAAGCTCCTACAATTGAATTTGATGTAATTATGACTGTTTTTTGGTCACTGCACAATATGTTTATGGTATTGTTTTGGTCTTGTGTATTCTGAAACGTTTATCACATGTCACTCTAGTTTAATGAACATTTAATTTTAATATGACTGCCTATTCCATTCTGTAGACTCAGAGACCACAGAAGATGAGGCAGCAGAGCCTCAGATACCTATGGAAACAAAAGAAGGACCCAGAAGTCTTCAGGACCAGGCTCTTCACAGAATGCCTGCAGGTAATGATACTTTCCCTTAATTATACTTTTATGTAATTTGGCTCTTATTAGATAGTATGTACTATGACTATATAATAACACAATTAAATAACATACAGTACATAGAGTATAAAGCATTCGTTTATTTAAACATATCATTAGTACAGTATTGATTTAGCTGATGATGATGATTTAACAGATTTAACTGTGAAAATGTATCAGTGCAAAATACATTATGTAGAGTTGGATTAACAATAAGAAGTTTTTATTTTTACTATAAAGTTAGTAAAAGTACTTTAAAAGTCCAGTTAATAGCAATTGAAACTAACACAATAAAGAATACACAAATGATAAAAATCAATCATTTAGTCTAAGGAACTCTAAAAAGCTTGATCTTGAGTGTAGTGTGCTCTCACGAGGCACCAGTTCTGTAGGGTTTGGGCATTTACTGGGACAATTATTAATTGTAGCAGTAAATCACAAAATGATTCTTTTAATGGCTTTAGAATCCAACCATGCGATATAACTCAAACAATGCACACACACAGGTACTAATACACGAGTATACATTTATTAATACATAGAATATGCATGTAAACCTAACAGATCTTATCGAGAGGGCTATCAGAATACAAAAGGTATATATTCATTCAGTCACGAAGAGTTACATATATCAAGATGGCATACGTTCAGTATATCATTCATTTAGACCGTTTCATAATTGAACTTGGTTACAACTTCTACATTAGATACTTAAAACAAGTACATAACTCTTAGGAATTAAATTGATATCAACTGGTCGGGATAACAATTGAATTCTCGAGCAGTAATGCAGTGAAGTTGAATACTCATCCAATCTCTGGGGATTCAGATCTCCTGCAGGCACAAAGAAGCAGTTGCAGGCTTGTTGCTGTCCAATCCGCGCTGTCTGGCTAGGTGCCAGGCTGTGCTGTGTGGCTTGCGACGGTGCGCTGCTGATGCTCACTGACCGGCTAGTTAGTGTTGGCTTTAACTAGCAAAGTTTGTGCACAGGAGAAAAGATGACTGTGGGTCCCAGCAGGTCAGGAAGGGGACCGGTTCGTTCCTGATGAAGCACTAGTTCTGAATAGTGATTCAGCTGTCCACAGTTCTGACTTGTTCACGAGGTTTGCTGCTGATGCTAACCTCGGGTGGATCCTCTGGTTACTCTCTGGCAACCTCTGTTCTATACTCTTAGAACAGGGGAAAGTTCTGGCACTCGGACACACTGGCCGTTCCGTTGTTGTCCGGGCTGAGTCTCAGGATTGTCAGGAGGTGCGCTGCGAGAATGTCCTGCCCTTGGGAGCCTTTCTGTTCCTGGGCCATCCTGCCCTGGAATTGTCTCGCACCCCTGGAATTCTCCTTTGAATTCTCCTACTGGAATAGTCTGAATAGTTCTCCTTCTCCAGTCTCTCTGTTGCCTGTTTTCACCTGGAGGAACTTCAGCTTGTTCATTGGCTGAAAGTTTAATGGGCATCAGAGACCCAAGTGGGTTACTCGGCCCTACCAGTCCCTGATTGGTTGATCAAGGTGAGATATGAGTCACTTACTCCTGACACTTAGGAATGCAGTCCAGATGTCCATCTGGCACTCCCTAGACAGATAGGCGCCAATGGATGACCATCGATCATGATAGCCAGGCTTAGCTAAGTGCATCCCCATTTGGGAGCTGTCCCTTATCAAAAGTAAAACATCTTTAAATCAGCCTGCATGAATAGCTTCTCTGTGGCTGCACCACAGAGATGAAGAGAGAGATGGGGCCTCATTTGGAAAAGCACAGCAACACTTAATTCTGTCTTATTAACAAGCATTGCCGCTACATGAGGAAGGGTCAGAAATAGTTAAACTTATTACATTTTGCATTAGGGCTAAGGTTTTTGAACTCCTACAAACAGGTGATTCATTTCAGAGTGATTCTTGCAATGGAAAAAATATTATTCATACACATTTTGTCATATTTGAGACTTGTTTCTATGACAAGGTTAATAATTTTGTTATCAAATTTAAATTGAATTGTTTTTGGATTTTCACTTACTGTAGGGTTAGGATACAATCCTGTTATCTCCAGGACAGCCATGAACCTGACTTTTAAACCTAACATTAAACAGCAACAAATCCAAATTTGTGGAACTTTTAAATCTGTTTTTTTTTCAGTTAATGAACAAAAAATTGTTGTAATTGTCAGTAACTCTCCTTCCTGATCAAAACAATAATGCTAATCTGATGTTCATCCAGTATCATCAATGTGAGCATTAGTGAACTGCTGATCGGTGTTACTTGTTTTAAGTGTACAGTAATTAAGCAAGAAATTTGTTTTTGCACAATGTAACCTTCTTTTGGCTAGATGAACTGAATGGTCTCCTCTCATTTGTAATAATCATATGTTCATATATTTGATTTGTGTGATAATCTACTTTAAGATAATTTTTAATATCTTGTATCAAATCTACAGATTAGTAGGTATGAGGTGATATAGTCACCTGATGACACAGTTAATTGACTATTATGTTCATGTATTGTTTTTTGTGAAGTTGTACAGATTTAAACTCCAACATAATCAGAACAAATGATGATTATTTAAACACGTTTGGGACTCGGAAGGAAGTGAAATTCATTCATCCACTTATTTACACAAAAAAGCTCAATTACAACTTTTCACACTTAGGATCCCTGAAACATACTTTATTGTGTTTATCTGCTATAAGCCAAAACTAAAGTTGCTCTCTCACCTATTAATCTCAAATTCTCCACTGAAAAATAAGTGGCTATGCTGCTGCCACACTATCACTGCCATACTTTTCTTTCAGTTCTTCTAATATCACTTGTGTACTAATATTTTATCTCCACCTACCTTTTCCATCTCTCTTTTCTAATCTCGCTTTCTCCACTCTCCTTCCTTCCATCTTTTGTCCCTTTTCTGGTCAAGTGTCTAACCTACCTTGCCTGTTGCCCCTATCCGTATTTGTTCTTTTATAATTAATTATAAGAATAACTCCTTACACTTATATTGCGCTTTTCTGGATACTCCACTCAAAGTGCTTTACAGGTAATGGGGATTCCCCTCCACCACCACCAATGTGCAGCATCCACCTGGATGATGCGATGGGAGCCATAGTGCGCCACAACGCTCAACACACATCAGCTATTAGTGGGGAGGACAACAGAGTAATGAAGTCAGTTCAGAGATGGGGATTATTAGGAGGCCATGATTGGTAAGGGCCCATTGGAAATTTGGCCAGGATGCCGGGGTTACACCCCTACTCTTTTTGAGAAATGCCCTGGGATTTTTAGTGACCACAGAGAGAACCTCGGTTTTACGTCTTATCCGAAGGACAGCGCCTTTTTACAATATAGTGTCCCTGTCACTATACTGGGGCATTAGGACCCACATAGACAGCAGGGTGAGTGCCCCTGAGTTTTGCTTTTATCTTTTCCCTTTCCCCTTTCCCCAATCCTTCATTTTGCTGTCCATAATGGAGCTCACCAGTAGCTAAGCACCCACTCTTTCCTAAGGGTGAAGCAAATGGTGTGAGTCGGTACCGGATCTGGGTCTCCTCATTCGCAAGCCCCTCCTGTTCCTGGAACCCACAGCCCAGGCAGCTACAGGGGGTCCTCCCTCCCTCTTGTTGTGGCCAACCAGAGAAGTGTTGGCCCTTGACTCCTCCCCCTCTCAAAGCTTCCAGAGCGAACATACAGTATATGCTCCTCGTTTACTTCATTCAACTTGTTCAAATAAGCTGATACTTTCTCATTGACTGCATTTCCGAATCATATCTGCACCATACATGCTTATCATTCATTACATGCAACATACACATTATGCTCAGTTCCTGCAAAACTGCATTAATCTGAGTTGCTCTTAGGTCTGTTGTGCTTGAAATCTGTATTGAGGTTTAGGGGAATCTTTTAGTAGGAGAAGATAGTGCTGTTCTCCGACCATTACTATCAGTTCCTTATCCATGCAAGCCAATGCCAGGGTATTATATATACAACCCCTTTATATTTGCTGGCTTGTTTTGCCATTATTCGAGTTTGACCAAACAGTTAAAATGCTGTTTTTATTGTCTGTTTGCATGAAGCAAACTTTGCCATCAGAACTGGAGCTGACAAGTTATAAAAAAACAGTAATATTGTTAATATCGTCTTGTAAGTGAAACTTTACTGAGCCTCGTTTACCAAAAAATAGAATTGCTAAGAAAAAGATAATAGTTTATTTAGACATTATCAAAATATTTTTTATACAGTATAAATACAAAATGGGAAATGTTGAACTAATGAAGCTGCTTATGAAAAAGACTTACTGTAGGTGCTTATGTTCACATAATCATTTGCTTCTTCTAGACAATGTGGAGAAACAAAAAAAATCAATCAAAATGTATATATACATATATAAGTTTTAGTTGAGAAAGAAAAAAAATAAAAATCCGATCGATTAGAGAATCGATGCAAAGGGTCAAGGTCCAGGTATCAATATTATGATACAAATGAAAGTCACAAAAAGTGCAAACTAATGTGAATTTTTCTGTCTTTTAGAAGTGCTGAACACTGGTAGATTGTGCTATTTTCTGTCCTGTGTATGCCTCTGGAGTCCATCCAAATACAGACTGTTCAAATTAGCTGTTACTCCAAGCAATCAAAACGTACTGAAAGCAATTCCATAAAATGAACAGTGGTTAATTTAGTAGAGGACACCCATTAACAAGAATGCTGTAGGGATTGCCTTATTCATGCATATTTATATTACACTGAAAGACTATAGTTCTCAAATAAAGTTAAACATAGTGCTTTTTACTGCTGTGTGTTGCAATCCTACAATTTTAAGCATGTCTTATACCAAAGGGGAGTGCAAAAATTGCAGTTGACTTCAAATTATAATGTGTGTAGCTTGGGATATTTAACAATATTTTAACTTAGACTTCTCTTATTGTGTTAATTGCTATTTGAATTTCTTATAAAATCCAGAGAAAAAAACAGCAAAAAAGTTATTCATACTGGCTCAGGAATTACTGAATGATGTTGGGTTAAAAAAGGAGAAGACTTCAAACAAATCAAAATCTACTGCAAACCTACATTAGAATGAATAAGCAGTAGGGATTATGCAGGCTATTATAGAGTTTAGCAAGTATCTTTGCCATTTTAAAATAGATCACAATTTTGTTTTACACGTTCTTGTGACTTGGCATCATCTATATTTATGTACAGTATGTTATAAAAAGAAGAATTCTGCCCAATTCTGGAGTCATATATGTGTTTTAATTATAGATGGACATAACTGGATGTAAAATTATTTTCCTCTCATGAACTCATTATTGAGTCATAAAAATACAATTTCTGTGTTGTATTCGATATTCATATAAATTTGTTGAATCCTCGACAGTGAGCACCTAATAGAAATCTACAGCTAATCAGCTGTAACTGATCCATAAATATTTTTAAAGCTATGTGAAATCAATGGAAAAGAGAATTGATGCTTCATGGTTTTATGAGGCCTTTTCTCTCAATTATGTATTCATATTCAGTCAACTTAATATCATTCCAATAGAATATGCGAAAGGCCCATATCAGAGCTCTTTTGATGGAGGTTCCTATGTGTTTTTTTTAAATTGTATTTGGACTCTTTTTCACTAGAACATTGAACAGCTTGTGAATTGCCCATCCCCTACAGAGAGGAGTTAGGCACAAAACATGACGCACTGTTTTTCCTCTTTATGGTACCTTTAAATATGTTTTTAGTTAATCATTTGATTCCAGCTAAGTGGAGTTTCATACGAGATGTGCTTCTGGCTTGCTAAATTGATGGTTTATCACTCAACAATTAGTTTCATTGTTGCATACTGTAGAATTGAGCATGTGTAACAGAGATGAAGCAAGGAAGCAAATACTCAAACTTACTAGTTCTATATATATTCTACACTCATATGATACTAAACCAGTCCAGTGGAGCACAGCATAATACTACTTATACCAGTTGTTCTTTAGATGTAAGTTAAATGCCTTATAGCAGCCTGCCGTACAGTACCAGATGCTCTGCAACAGTTTTGAAAACAAAACTAATTATCATTTATACAACTTCTTGTGTGTGACATTCTAAATCTGCTATAATACTCTTAATCCAGTAAGAGCATAATTATTAAAGAAAAAAGAAAACTTATTCACCCAACCAAGGGCCGAATTTAGAGCAGAGGGATCTTAAAATGCTAACAAAGTACCAAATCTAGATGAATATGAAAGATCAACTAATTACACTAAATCTTCCCCTTCAACAAACAAGTAAAACTATACTCTTTATATAGGTATGTACAGTTTGAGTGTTTTAAAACACACCCTTTAAAAGTTTTATTTTCATTATTAAATAAAAGGCAGGTGAAGAACTGGAGAAGCATTTTATTGATTTTTAATGATAATAATCACAACCAACTAAATAAAATTGTAATCTTATTATTGTCGGCTAAGCTCAGCTGGTTTGTCATCTTTCTTGAAGGTGATGCAGACAAGATGATGGATGTCACACCTGAAACAACGCCCTCTTCTGGCAGAAGTGGGTCACGGGTTGGAAGCTGGTCTGGCAGTCAGAACACAGTGGTAGAGAAGGAGGCTCTGGCCTTGGGTTCCAGAGGCCCTGGTCCTACGCAACAGGATGCTCTCTCCAAGCCTTCCAGGCAAGCTAACGGGCGGGAGCCAGCAGGCACCCAGATCAGGCATCTAGGGGTCGAGCCTCTGATTCGGGCGTCCCGCGCCAATCTGAACCGGCCAGTCTGGGGGTCGGAGGAAAGTCTGTCTTTAGCTAGTGATTACTACGGTAGCACTTTCAGTCTCTATAGAGGAAGAACTTTTTCTATACCCCTGTAAGTAAAATTTTAAACACAAAGAAACAGCAAAAACTTAACAAAAGTGAACTGTGCCCCTGCAGTTGACCCTTGCTATAACACTTTTTCATCAAAAATGGATGGCACTGTTTTTTCTGTTAAAATGGTGACTTGACAAATATTGGCACTCAAGAGTAGAGGAGTGTGGCTTCTAAGTGAATAATAGCAGATGGAGGAGCCTCAAATGTAAAACAAAGTGGCCCCACAAATGACCTGAAGCTACAGAAAGATGCAAATCATATATCACGTTTTCTGAAAACTGACAACATGCCCTTCACTTCATTAGTGAGTTATGCTGAATGTATTTTGATTCCCATTAAATTTTTAATTCTCTTTCAATCTCTAGGAACAATTTTGTGAAACTGTAATCAAATGTTGCTTTGACTACTTAATCGCAGCATTCAATTATGTGACGTTAAACATGAGTCAAGATGCATTGTTTAACTCATATTTTAAGAGAGCTAGAAGAAAATGCTTCCCTGCTGAATGATTTTATGGATTAAAATGAATCAGCACAATCCCTTCATAGGTACTGAGAGGTACATTTCTTGAATACTTTTGACGTACAGTAAATGTAGTTTTATGTTTACTGGCTTCTGTAAAGACAGACGCTCACAATTCTGAGAAATAACTGTGTTTTCTTTATTTTATATATTTTTAACCAGATACATTAAATGAATACAGGTTTTAATTTACAATGACAACTTGGAGCGTACCCATTTATACAGCAAGGCACTTACTGGAGCATTTTGATTAAAGTATTGTTTCATGGGTACAATACCTGTCAAGAGTATAGAGTCCTAAGCATTGTGTAATTTTTATTTTGCATTTCTTTAATGCAAAATCTAGAAACAATTTATAGAAGTTACAGAACAACAATATTAGTTGTGGATATAATTTTTTACAGTAATTAGTGGATCAACAAACTCTTTTACTCACTTTAAAAACATTCTCACATCAATTTAGATTCTAAAAACAAACATTTTCTAAGGCATGCAGTAATCTGCCATGCCTTCATTGAAGTCAAATGTTACATATTATAGCATTACAGAGGGACTAGGTTCCCATGGGACCTAAAGTAACTGCAGTGGGTGCAGACATTATTGCAGGCAAGACTTCACAGACAAAAATACCCAAGTGCAGTAGCTTGTGGAAATCTATTAACATAAATCTATCCTTTATCAGTAATAATAAGTATGTGGCAGAGTTTGTGGAAACATCTGTACTTATTAGGTGTTAAACATCCATGTTCAGATACATACCATTTTACATGGCAAAAACAAAAGCATTTTGTATTGTGGTACCTTTGGTCTTCAAACCCTAATTCTGCATTGTCAGTTTAGGATATTGAGAGTATTTTGTTTAAATTGTTAAACAACTATTTTAATGTTGAAAGAGTATACAATGATGTGGGTATTGAAGTTAAATGGTTTCATTATATTTGTAAATGGTAGTGACACTTTCAGGATACTTGCATTTGGTCTGAAACATTATATGGGAAACAAATGTAAGAGCCGCAGGAAAGAGATCCCAATCAGACATATATTATAATAAGTATAGAAATATACTTCTACAGTATGGGTACTGTACTATAAGTTAAACATTTTATCACTATAAAATATACCTTGAAAATAATCACTTATTTTCCAGTAAAGCCTGAAGAATTCTGTTCTGAAATGAAGTTGGCAGAAGAAAGTTTCCTTCCTGTATCTTCTGTTTCATTATCAGTTCATTTCCACCATTAAAGCACAACTGTCTCCTAAAGTGATAAAGCAATGGTCAACTGTAGATAGCTTCTTATATATTTTATCCAAAATCCCATTCCTCATTTGCCTCTCTCCCTAAGCCCACCCCTTTTTGCTTGTTTAAAAATCACTTTTTAAAATTTATAATTCCTATTATTTACTTCAAATACCTGTATATATTATTTTATCCATTTAAATTTTAGTTTAGAAGCTGAAAATTAAAATTTGAAGTTCACTTTCCTCTTTTAAAATACAATGTGACAATAATGTTTTGTTCTATATCTTTTGTATGACTTCTTGGGAATTTGTTACCGTACTTGGTGTCTTTGTCTGACTTTTTAAATATTTTGCAGTAGTTAATTCCTGTATTTGGATTCTACAGTTATGCCCTTAAACGTTATTAACTGTACATTGAGCACGATATATCTATTAACAACAGAAAACTTCAGAAAATTTTCATTTAAAATAGGGAAACAAGGAGCCTGTTCCAGAGAAGAACAGTAAGGTTAAGTTTCTAGGACAAATTTTAATGTTATTTGTGACCCTGCCTTTTAGGGCATTTTAATTGACATTATAATTACAATATTGATTCTACATGCATTTCTGGCAGCGCTAAATATTGCTGAATGTTAAGAGTTGTTACTCCGAAGTTAAGTTTGATTACTAAGTGAACGGAGGCCTCTAAGGAAAACAAGGGAGTAACCATAAGTGTAGACTGTCCAGAAGGTGGCACCTTAGACTCTGGACCAGAATTTCAAACTCTAAAACTCCAGTATTGTGATAGGTGATACTGCGCTGTAAGGTGCTGTCCCTCAGATGAGACATTAAACTGAGGTCCTGACTAGTTTATTAAAGATCCCTTGGCACTGTTGTTAAGAATAGGGCTGTTGACTCTGGTGTCCTGATTACATTCCACTCTGGGCATGCATAGTCTGAACAGAGTATTTATTGCTTAATTTAATGGTAGATCAATTGTAGATTTTTCTCTACCTAATCTGCTTTATTATTTCAATCATCTGTTGGTTCATTCCCCCAGATAAACTTTCAGCTAGTGTATTTATATGGCTTGAAAGAAATTACTGTCTTTGTCCTCTTCGTGAAGCAAAGGAAGCCTTGTCCTGGCTCTGTATATTACATACCATATTGTATCCTTGTTGTAAAAGTTTAGCAGTGCAAATGTTTTCTTATGCTTTCTGAAATACAACATAATCTCTAAGTGTTGTATAGTCTTCCCAAACAGTAGCATTCTGACAGTAGTGAACAGACAAATAACAATGACAACTCTCATTATTCAGCACTGGATGTCAGCAATTATTTTTTTTTTTCATCATCAGTTGTGTATATGACAGGTCATATCTACAAATCTAGTGCCCAATAGAAAATAGAATCATGTCAAAAGTAAAAACAAAAATCTACATGCTTGGAGGTATCTTGTAAAATATTCAAAAATAAAGGCAAAAGACACAATGCAGAACAAGGCTAAATGTAATCAAATATTTTAAATGTCTCTGTACACTTTTCACAGAAAAAATGTTTCATGATACTGGCATACATCACAAAAATAAAATGGTTAGGAGGCTGTACTGAACTATATTTAAACTCTGCAATGAAACTGTGCATAGGATGCAATAAGGACATGTAAATCATAAAAAACAATACTTTAATCTGGTAATGCACTTCACACTCCATCAAACATATGTTGCTTGATTTTGCTCAGTTTAGAGTTTTAGTTTTAATAAATGTTGATTTATTTTATAAAATACTTAAAAAGCTTAGCTTTTCAGATGGTATGACACATTTGTGTAATGTGATAGGAACTAACCAACACGTCAGTAGCAGGACAGGTCTCAAAGATTAATGGATGAGAAATTCTGGAGTCAACCCAAGTATTAAAATTAATAGTATTTTAAAAATGTCTTGCAGCAGACACTGGAACACAAAACAGCTGTTAAGTGCCATGTGATACTTAGAGTGACATACAGCCCACTTGGTTTTTACTATGGAATAGGACTTTTTAACAATTGCACAGAGTTTGCTTTTAACAAAATGGTAATGTCTTCATGTACTGTTGCTACTGTTTGTCTTCTCTGCCTATGGAAGCACTGTAGTAATAATATATTTACAGTATATACAGTAATCATCTCCATTTATCACATCCTGTTGCCCAGATTAGAAGCCCATTATGGGTTTCTTTAGATCCTACAGAAATATATAATTTTAGACCTAGCTAATCATGTTTCAGCACTAGTCAGGAGAAAATATGCACTTTTTTGACATAATCTGACATATCTTTTTATACAAAGAAGTATGTGCATCCAATCAATGTATCTTTTTATACATTGAGTGTGAAGGTTTGAGAGAATATAGTATGTGCTGTTATGGTGTCATCTGGTCATCCTGGTTTGAGATGTTATGATAGCATTAGTGCTAGATATCTATCTTATATAGTTCAAGGGTGGTTGGATGCACATACTTCTTGGTTTCAGTCAAGACTGAAATGAAGAAGCTTTAGCTGGTGTTTGGATTCTAGAGTTCTGCACCATTATTCAAAGGGATCGCTTTATAACTTTTCAATCCTTGCAATGTACTGTTGCTCTTTGATACATATTTTGTTGTACTGAATAGTAGAACATATCCTCACAGGACCAGACTGGTTTGTCACCTGATCTCACCCTCATTTAAAATGCAGGTGGTGGCCTTCAACAGCAATGTTATGTCTTCCATTTACAAAGTACACTTACAGAACAGAATGACAAAATCCCACAATATTTGTTTTTATCCAAAAATACCACACAGAGGCTTATTGCATTTTCCTATGCTCAGATTACCTTTTATTTTACTGATGTATGCATTATGTTTTTATGACTGTATGACAGATCTGATAAAAGAAGACTTCGCTAAATAGTATATCTTCTTGTCTAATCTAATTATAGATATATAATCGAAGGCCTCATAAATGTTATTGCAGTTGTGATATTTTCTTACCATTAATTATCACTCACTGTGTTTACCATTAAATGTCATGGTATACCAATTATAATTAAAGGGTTCCATTAAATGGTATTACCATTAACAATTCATGAATGGTAAACAATATATTCTGCAGTATTAAAAATCCACCCATCATCTTATCATTGAATATATAATTAATTATCTCAGCTAGACATTCACAACTGAAAAAAAACAATTGTCTTTACTATCATTAATATCATAGTAAAAATAATTTGAAAACATGACAAGAACAGAATCTACTGTAAAGCATCACTCCTAGATTAATATGCATTATAGTTTTATGGTTTATTCCCTGTGAATAAATGTTGTGTTTACAGGAGTCTGAGGGGTATTATTTTTAACAGGGCAAAGATTTATCATTCTCCAAATATTCATTTCATGTCCTCATTTTTTAGTTTAGTTACTTTCCTTTGACCTCCTTCCTTCATCATACATTCCCAGATTTTTTGGGCTCTGACCTGCACACCAATATATGCAAATGAAAAGAAAATTGAAGTGTTAGGGGAAAAGGGAAATTACATCAAATGATGAATTCTTTCTCAGACTGTAGTACTGTGTTCTCATATCAGAGAATAATCAGTTTAAACCATAGGAAGCATTCAAGACAATGCCTTTGCATTTCATTGGCTGTGTCAGGTGTCATCGACCCCTTCGTTTTTCCACTGGTTGTTCTGCATGTCATAATGTAGGAGAATGGTAAACATTTTGCATGTTCAACCCCTATAACTGTTTGCATGCAGTAAAGAAAGACTTTTGAATGTTTATCTGCCCAAGTGTCCCATCCGTTCTTCAGGCATATCTGGTAAAAAAAACAGAAGATAAATACAACTTTTTTTGTGAATCATATTTATGGGAAGCACATTGAAACCATGAACGTCACAAAAACAAATAGAAGTTTCCCATAATAAAATAAAGTACATATATTTTATATTATGTTACAGTCTTTTCATATGAGAGTCTTAATTGTAGTGTGAAATATATTATGGGAAAAATAAAATGAAAGCCAAAATATATTTCAATTCAATTAAGAACCTTGTGCCTATTTCAAAGTTGTGATAAACAGCAATTTATTTACCTGTCCATCTCCTGGAGAGGAAACCTCTTCTAAATTACTAAAATACTCAAAGATTAGAAATTATGTCAGGATTTCATAAAGATAATTGGCTGTTTATCCCATTTCCAGAAGAGCTTTCCCCAGGCTTCAGGAAATGGGATCATAATTATCTTCAGTTCTTAACTTGCAAATTTTAGGTAATGTGATATTATGACATGACCTCTATCACACTTTCATTTGATTGGAAAACGTTGTTTTAAACGTTTTATACTGAAAACTGACATTAATTATTTTAAAGAATTTTGAAAATCAAACACTAAATTTAACTGAAAATCCAGCCATGAACAAATGTTTTTCAAGGAAAATAAAATTGCGGATGTGAGATTTTATTGTACACATTAATGCCTAAGGAATTCTGCATTACTGAACAAATTAGATATTTACAATACCACCACATATTCCCTGAAATTTATTATTAGGAAAATTCTAATACTGCATGTTCGTATTTTCTTGCATGCTTTCAGCACTGCCTTGATTGTACTGTTCATGCAGTAATACACTGGATATGAAACAGATATCTGGTGGAATTGGGGCCCACTTATGGGTCCAGTCCAGTTCTGTTGGAAGGAATAGGCTGATTTTATGACTACAGTGCGATAGCACATGATCTGGCTATTAGTTTCCCCTGTCACTTTGCCACTGCTATCTCCATCACCAAAACAGAGATTGACAAGAGATTTCATGAACCAATGCCAGTTTTAACTGTTGCTGCCAAAAGAGATTCCATTTTCAGAATCATTACGTAATATGGCTCATACATACAGATTTATGAGTGTGTCCACATTTCAAAGTTGGTTTATTTAACCAGAGATAGAACTCATATCAACAAGTTGTGTTACTGCCCTTTTTTGGCAGTTTTAAACAAAGGATTTTTAATCCTTTGCTCATATTTCTAGACTGGCCTGCTTTAAACCCCCCAGCTCCTCTTAATATTTCTTTTAGCTATTCAGCACCCCCAACCCAAGTTATGTCCTAATTTCAACAACAATTTTATTCTTACTCTTAAATAAAAACTCTTACAGTCACTTGAGAATACAAGAATTATCCACTCTACCCATGCAATCTTCCATACTCCCTGTACTTATTTTGAGTAAATCCTTTCACTGCCCTGGTCTCTACAAATCCTGCCATGAAGGGGCATTAAAAAGCCTGCTTCCTTCTCAGCACCAAGCAACAAAATCCACTCTGGCTTCCTGTCCTCCTCCTAACAGCTGGGCTCCACCAACAACCAGACCTTTACTCTAACAGAAAATTTCCCTTAATCACCTTCTTTCAGGAGCCTATCTGAAGACGTTTTGAGGGAAGACTATGGCTGCCAGGCCGCTGAGCTGGAGCAGAGACGGGACCTTGGGTCCCTCAGATACCCCTCTTCCCGTCCCCAAGTTCTCCCACCTCCCTCTCCCAAAATTGGCCAGCGTCCCACCTCAACACCCTTACCCAGCCGTTCAGGGTCAACCCCTGTCACCCCCCTTACACCCCGCAAAAAAGTTGTCATCCCCCTTGACTACCAAGACACTGTGCCAGATGAATTTGAGGAGAAAATCAAACAGCCTAAATCCTCAGCTCTCTCTCAAACCAGCACCCAGGATTCTCGCCCTCAGACACCTCTGAGTGAGTATTCAAGGAAGGATTTAACGCTCCGTCCATCACCAAAGTTGACTCGTGCAAGCTCTAAGATTTTTGAAAAAGTACGGTACTTTGAGGAGCGCAGGAGGAGTATTGACCACCCTGAGGGATCCATCTCTGGACGATCATGGGCGGGTTTCAATCGAGCACGATCCTTTGAACAATCAGATGATGAGAGGAGCCGGACAGGAATCTCCAGAGAGAGCTCAAGAGAGGATCTGCGGGAGGCACTAAAAGCTGATGCAGCCCAGAGGAGGTCCTTGTTCAAGCAGAAGGCTTCCTCCTTTGAGGACAGACCTCGTTACACGCAGAAGATTCAGGACATTGAGAACAAGTTCACAGAAGAGCTCCAGCGAATTAAAAAGGTTGTGGGCAAGCCCCAACTGGGAAAATCCTTCTCCACAGAACAGATTGCTCACAGAAGTGGGAGGCAAACCCTACGAAAGTTGGAGCCCATTCCCCCTCAGGTTCTCCAGAAGTTGCAAGACAGGGAGCGGATGCAACAACAGCAAATATTACAACAGCAAAAACAGCTGCAACAGCAACAATTACAACAACAACAACAATATGAACTGCAACAAAAACAGAAGCAGCAACAGCAGCTACTGCAACAGCAGCTACTGCAACAGCAACAACTACAGCAACAGCAACAACTTGAACTGCAACAAAAACAGATGCAACAGCAGCAGCTACTGCAACAACTTGAAATGCAACAAAAACAGAAGCAGCAACAACTGCAGCAGCAACAGCTGCAATTACAACAAAAAGAGCAGCAACAGCAGCAACTCCCACAGCAGCACTTAAGTGCAAGGAAACCTTTAATGAGGAGCTGTGCAACAGTGAACAGATCACGAGAAGAGATTGATAGCTTAGAACCTATGTTACTCACAGAATTAAATAATAGGTTTTCAACTAGAGAGAAAACAGACAGAGAAAGACATTGTGGCTCTTTGCCATTGGAAGTGCTACAAAAAGCTGAAGAACAGCCACTCACCACACAACTTCCATTAGAATCGTTACCAACCAGGAAAGAGGAGCCCACAATAAGGAAGTTTGAACAAAAACCTGTAAGCCCATTGGTGAAGAAAGAATTCGCCCAATTTCAGGAATCCCCAGCCCAAGCCCCACTCGGGCTTGTGAAAGCAAGTCTTACTCGTATCCCCTCCCCTTTTCCCTTGCCAGAAGAAGAGAAGATGGAGATTGATGATATACCTGCTCCTCCAGCCTACAGGCTACTCATCCCCAAAATTGTTGTGCCAGAGGAGACCTTAGATAGGGAGCCTACTCTGGAGGATGACAAGAAGAAGAAAGTCAGCGTAATAAAAGAGGGGAGAACCCAGAGAATCCGAGGGAAAGGCCAAAGAGCTCGTCCAATGTCTCCTGAACTAGGTAAGGCTTGTTGGTATATACTGAGTAGACAATAATGCCTGAAAAGACGTTTTCACATTAATGGGGAATACACTGACTTAATAAAGTAATACAGTACAATACAACAACAGAATTTAAACAATTCCTTTCTTAGTGTTTGAAATATGAAATATGTATGTCCATGTGACAGGTTGCTTATTGTGACTGTATATACTTCCTTAAAAATAACTTTTCAGAGACAGCTGGAAGTTGTTTTATTTATAGTTGTTTCTGAGTTCATAAGCTGACTTACATTTTTAACGTAGATGTGTTTACTTTCTAATAAGTTATCAATTATCTGTATTTTATTTTCAGAGACTGCAGGTCTCTGTATGTGCATAACTACAGTGTTCTTATGAAGTGGAGCTATGCAAAAAGCCCCACCATAAAACTCCACTGCATCATAAAACAGTCAGTCAAATTTGTAATGGAACCAAAAGGAACTCCCTGCCATAGACAAAAACAGTGCACTTAAGAGGGTACTATTATCACTGCTTTTCACCAGAGCATGCATTTTCATCACAGGAAAATAATGGTCTTGTTAAATCAATATTGTGGTGCATACTTTCGTTATCAATAGAAATGTTTACCCCATTTGTATTTCATTTCATTTGTATTTGCATCTGTTTGAATAAGATAACTAACCTTCTAAACACCTATGTTATTTGCTTTTCATTTATTAATATAATTAATTGCTTTAATCAGGGAATGTTTGAACCAGAAGTCAGAACGAATGATAATGCAAATATTTTTTCCACTGCACACTTCGTGTTGTTTTCATCTGCACTAACCATAGTGCTTTGCTTCATTATGTTGGCAGAATCTTCTGATGACTCATATGTGTCTGCTGGAGAGGACCCCCTGGAACCTCCTGTGTTTGAGGTTCCTCTTCGGGACACAGCGATCACGGCAGGCACCGAGGTTCTGCTGAAGTGCATTATTGCTGGGAACCCTCTCCCAGAAGGTAAGCTTTTCCTATTCCCTCTACTGTTCTCTTCACCTTCAACTTTTCATCAGATTTACTGTGTTACAGTCTGGAGAATTTACGGGTTGTAAGAATTCGATAATACTATGTTTTACAAAAAACAAGCAGCAGGATTCTGCAGAGCATAGGGTTAGGGGTTCTACATCCCCAAATTATTCTATAACTCTTTATGTAGTAAATATTTACCAGTAACCATTATTTCCGTTGATAAAACTATAACAACTTTGTTTTGCAGAAAAGGATAGATGTCTTTGTCTGATTCTTTTTTCAAGATGTGTTTTCTCATGCTGTGTGTTTGCGAAACAGTAGTTTGCACTGTACAGTGTGATTAAAAAAAGAAGTTCTTTAATGCACAGGATCCTAAACATACCATAAGCCTCAGAGCTACAGGATTGAGTTCTTCACTCTTAATGATCCTTATATAAACCACTGTCAGCACTATCTTGTATAGTATAACTTCTAATAGTATAACTTCTGATAGATGACTCTTTTGGGATACAGTGTGGTATATTTGACCATCTGTTGATCCATTTAACTTCATTTCCCTACTGCACATGATGTGGGAGTGTTGAGATGTGGCAGAACAGAATTACTTTTCTATAACATGATGACCAAAACTGTACTCAGCATTCTAAATTAGGCAATATAGTCCACTGTACAATTTTAACAAACCATCCATTGATTTAAATTCTCTGTTTCAAAATGTTTATGTGTCTAGAAGATGTAAAACATGTGCCAAGATAAACCCCCAAGCCTTTTTCATGTGTAGCCTCTACTGTCTCAGCATCTCCCATGTAATATTTAGTTTTACATTACCTGCATATAAAAACCTATACTTGTCCACATTAAACAGCATCTGCCAAGTGCACGCCAAGTCTTTTTTTTCTATATTTTTTTGTTGCATTTTTTAGCAGTGTTTTTTATTCTTTTCATCTGGGCCCACTTCATCCACTACTGAAGTGGAAGGCCCAGCAGGCACCCATTATCACCTACTGTACAGTCCCAATGCACAAGAAGAAGTGATGAATTCACAAGAGAACTGATAAATTGATTCACTAATTACCTAGCAGCTCAGTACTAAGTCTGAATGGATTATGTTTCTGTTTCATTCTATTACTCTGTTTTCCACAATAAAAATAAAAATAATCTAAAATGCCCTGTATAACTGATCTATTAATACACAACTGTAATGTAAATTTATTTTACAAAAATAAATGAGAATATAGCATGTTTCAAGCACACTGCTGTTGTGCTGCAGGTGTTGCAGTTCAGTTGACTGCATATTAAAGTTAATAGCTTTTTTATTTTAATATAGTATCAGGAAATTAAGTATTGTAATAATAATAATTAATAATAATAATAATTGCTTACACTTATATAACGCTTTTCTGGCCACTCCACTCAAAGTGCTTTACAGGTAATGGGGACTCCCCTCCACCACAACCAATGCACAGCATCCACCAGAACGCTCACCACACATCAGCTATCAGTGGGGAGGAGAGTGATGAAGCCAATTCATAGATGGGGATTATTAGGAGGCCATAATACATTTTTCTTTCTCTTTTAGCATCCTGGAAGAAGGACAATGTCCTTATAAAGAATAGCTCAACCCACATAATCAAAGCGGAAGGTGAGAGACACACCCTGCTGATCAAATGGGCAAGACCAAGCGATGCTGGGACATACAATGTAATGGCTACGAACGAAATTGGCAATGCCTCCAGCAGTGCCACTCTCACTATCAAATCCGGTGAGTCATACAAGCATTTTATAGAAAAAACACAGAAATTAAACTTTGAATTTTAACTAAAGACAGTTCAAAAGAACTGAAGATTTTTCAAGAAGGTAGAATCCTTTATTTCAGTGTCACACTAAAATGAGTCATAAGAGGATTCTGAATTAAATACAATTTGACACTAACCCAGAGTGAAGTAATTCATCCCCATAAATATCCTTTTACTTGACATTAATCTTCATTGGGTATTCATAGTCACAACCTTTCTACCCTCATATTTACAGTAATTCTGGTCCTCAGTAGTACTTAACTTGTTTTTAAATGCACACAATAAAAATAAATGACAACTTACTGGTCTTACTGTATATAGATCTGAACCTGTCTGATGTAAAACAGTCCACTGTGTTTACTTAAGGCAAAGTTTAAAAAAAGATTGACGTGTCCATATCTCATTAAAATCAAATACATAAGTAATTCTGAGTACTGCAGATCTCCAGTTTAGAAAACTGAGGATCTTGCCAATGCTGACTGAGAAGAAGTAGTCAGGAAAATAATGTCTAATGTCAAGATCAACTAGGACTTGCTGGTTTTGTAATTGAAAGATATTCCTCAAAAAGAAAGAGAATTTTAAATGCTACTCTATATGTTAAATATCAATGTTTCCATTTGTATTAAAAATCCTTCCTGCTTTTACAAAATCTAGCATTCTAATTTCTACGTATTTGCAAATACATCTGTCTCAGCCACAATGATCTGCTGATCACAGTCTGTCATTTCCAACAAGAAACACAGTTACACAAAATGTATTTTTTAACTTGTTTTTGTTCATTCCTGAACAAATTGTTTAAGTTCATCCTTGAACAGACGTCACATTACATAGCAGTAATTACAGTACACAGACACAGTCTGTGAAAGTGCCAATTAATGGATGTTATTAACTGAAGTTCGGGAGGGATAACAACGACAAGTCAATCACACGCAGCTGTTCTTAATTACCAACATTACGAAATTAGCTATGTTTATATTGAACACAAACAGCTCCCTTCACATTCGTCTCAAGCATCCCTCCTTCACACTGGCTTCAGCTTGTGGCTGCCCTTGGATCTCTTCCCATTAACCAAGCAGGTTAACCCAAACCTATTTCACCAAGTATCCCAAACTTTCAAAGAGCACTCAACTCTTGGATTTTGTTGACCCTAGTGAATTTCTATTATTGCCATCATCATTATCATTATCATTGTGAAAGCAATACAACGTTTAATTAGGGTCTGATGTGGGATGGCTGAAGAAAAAGATCCTGAAAGTAATGTCATTTAGTCTTAAAGGAAAAAGTATCCATAGGATATGTAATAGTTTTGAATTTAATATTATATTTCTTTTGAATTGAATGCATGGATCATTAGATCATTGGTTATACCACAGTTGTGTATTAATGTTCTTTGGTATGTGTAGTGGCATTCAGTAACAACGTGATCTGCCTTGTATTTTATGTTTTGTAAACTATCCATGTCACAATTTCATATCTGGTGGATAATTTGGGGAATTCATATACTTACACACTAGTAGTTAATTGCTTACTATTCTGCAACCAGTGAAAAGCAATTTTAAGGTAACATTGTTTTTTCCCAGCATATCGAGCCTTTATTAAAAAAAAACAGCCTCCTTTTAGTAAGTTTTTCTACATGACGTCTCCCCCAGCTCTTTTTTTACAAACCAACAGACTACAAGATACCTTAACACAGTATTCCAGCTCAGTCTTACCACTGGTAGTTACCATAGCAACCAAAGGACTAAATTCAGACTATAAATTGTTAAAGGCCTTACGATGAATTTTAAAATAAATAGAAAACCTATATGATGTAGGCAATGTGCATCAATGTATTTTCAATCAGCTTGATTTTCAAAATAAGAAGCAACATGATACCTTACCAAGGAACTTATCAATGATATGAGAAAATAGCTTTATATAATATCTGGACCGTAATCGCCAAACACTGCAGCATACTGCATACAGTATATATATATACAGTATATTCAGTATCTTTTGAGTAAGGGGAGCTGAAAATCATAGCTCTGAAGTGTCGGTACATCATAGAAATATATTGCATTGTGAGAGGTATTGGGATTTATACTTGGGAGTATTACTAAGTACTGTAGGTGTCAGGAACTACAGTTCTTATTAAAACAAAACACTAAAAACAAGAGTATATTTTTGTTTTGTATTCTCAATGACTGCATACTGTACATAGCTGATTGCTTAGTGGTAGAATACTCTCCCCCATAGAAATCCATGTCTTAAACCTTAATTGTAATACTGTGTACACACATTCCAAAGATTTCATGTCTTATGGCTGACTCCTATAACAATACTTTTACTGCAGGATAACAAAAAAAAATTGTCATTTTTCCTTATAAAAAAGAATAACTGTGCTTTGAATTTCATTTTTATGTGGGTGTGCTAACTGTTATTAAAAGACAACTCAGCCTACAGTATATATTTATCAGTTCATCCAGTAAAGGACATAAAACTAACTATGTAAATAATTATTGTTTTACAAATGTATTTACAAACTCATAGCTAAGAATAAAAAATATTAAAAATTAACTGAATGCTTTTAAAACTGAACTAAACCCCTCTCAGGTAAAAACATATACTGTTAATGGTATTTCACATATGTAGATGTACAATGAAATGAAGGTATTTAGACTCTAGACTCTCAAACATTTTAATTTCTAATCATATGAAACTAACTTTGATGCTGAAATATTTAATTTGGACTAATTGAGTTATAAAAGAGATTTTGATTAGCTGGCACAATGGATAGGCTACCATTTGAATCAGAAATGCTGGAACTTCTTAAATTAATTGCCTCAAGGACATTTCCTTGCATGAAATTCAAGATTTAGAGTCTGTTAAGTAAAAAAGAGAGACGGTTTTACAGTACATTAAGTGATTATTTTAAAAGATTTGTTTGTTTTATAGAAATTGAAATTGCCGTTAATTCGAAAATAGGTATTGTTTTTTGGTCAGGAGCTATTATAATGATCAATTGATTTTTGTAATGGTAATGCTGGACTGTCTAACTCTGTCTTACTGTATATTCTATTACCACTGTATATAATATTATTTAAATTGAAAAGGCAATAATATAAAGTTCATACAGTACTATTGTCAAATAAGACTACAGTTCACCAAGGAATTCTAGGACAATCCCAGCCTTAATATTCTTAACTTTTTTACAGGCTCTGTTTTATTAATAGTGTTACCAAATGTTGATATTCTCAGATCTTTAGAAAATGTTGAAAATGCTGTCTGTTGTAACTTGATGTGAAAATGCTTAGTTCAGTTTAGTTCTGTACTTTAATGTTTCTAGTCTTCTTAAAGTCTTTAAGACTTATGTTGACAGCCAAAGAGAAAGGGATAGTTTACCTTATTAGGGCACAGGACATCTAGTATAGTGTATTTATAGCAGTCCTTGTTCTGTGTAATAATTGCAGTCTGTTTTATTTCTGAGTGTGAGATTAATGTAGGGGCACATGGTTCTAAAGACTATTGGATATAACAGATTTTTACAGAGTTGCAGCAACTACTGCCTGCTGTTACCAGGCACCAGGGTTCTGTAAGTGTTTAATAATCCTTATTACAGTTTTTAGCTTTCATATTTACATACAGTAGATAAATGTAGCAAAAAAAAATGGCTTTACATAATTTTCAGACATCTCCTTAAAACTATACTTTACTATGGATATTTTTGAATATTCAGAAAAACAACTACTTGCTTCTTTTCAGATGTGACTGAAGAGTTTAAAGTAGCATTCCTTGTATAACATACCTATCTCATAATGTTTTTCTCTTGTAAGAAGTTTTGTTATACCAATATATATATATATTTAGACACACAAAATGCCTTGTATATGATGTGCATCAGATGTGCAGTTTAGCTACAGTGGTTTTAAACTTCTCAGTGAATTGGATGAATCCTATAATCCAGAGATTGTTGTTTGAACCTTGATTCTAGAAGTTCCATAAAGGTTAAGCTCTCCAAAGGCCGTATGGGTTTATAGTTGACAAGGGTTTCCTCTGCTTGCCAGGTATCTGTGAAGTTGTGGTATTATCAGTGAGGATTGCATCAAGTACTCCAGAATGGTTAATTCTCCTATTTGTAAAAGGAAGCAGATTATGAAATGTTATTTCTATTTAGATATACTTTATATTTGCAACACCAATATTGAACTTGCATTGGTTTTCTTACATCCACATATATATTATAGATAATATTAAAGATGTTTTGGTTTGCACCAGCGGTTTTGTTGTGTTGAAATCTTATGTAAACACAGAATACTTTAATACCATGTCATTACTTTCATATCCTGAAATAAAATCTGAGATGGGTAGATCAGGAAAAATTCAACAGCTTTCTAAAACATGTGAGTCTATGAATGTTGCACAGTAATAGTAAGTTATTAATCTCATTCATGATTTTCAAAAGGAGAGCTTTAAAGGAGCCATAATCACAATGCGTATTATTACTACTTAAATTCAGGATGTATGAAAGAACAGTTGTTGTGCCAGAATCAAAAGACCAAGAATTAATCTTGTCAGAGCAGATCACAAATGATCACTGTATTGCAAACGCCTACATGACCTATGCAATAAATGGAGAGCTGGGGTACTGAAAAAAAGTACAAGGAGCAGATGTAAAGAGAGTGAGTCAGCACAAAAGAATCCAGGGTCTATAATGCCAGCATCAGCCCAGACACTTACAGGAATCTGGGAAATAAAAAACTTAATGGCGTGATTCTACAAGCAGTTAAGTCCTGCCCTTTCATTGCAGAAATTCTCCCTCATTCAACTCCCATACACAGAGGTACTGTATCAGAGCTGGGTAAGTTTTTTGCTGTAGCCTGGCAGTGGACCATTTGCTGGAAACACATTGTTTTATTTTATGTCTTATAAAGAAAAATTTGAAAGTTGTATCCAGAAAAATAAAAACATTAGACATAAAGTGGTGGTAGCACCAACTATTTACTAAACAATTAAAAAAAATTCAAAACAAGAAAGAAAACTTAATTTCTTTAAGTTTAACAGCTTTCTATCTTTCAATTAGTCCAGTTACTAAAAAGTTGGGCAAGATGAATGTTTTATTTCTGGAATTGTAATTGTGCTAGATTCCACTAATCTTCATAAAATTCCCTTAAAAATTATATGGAATTCCCTAAGAAAAAAGCCTCAATTTTTTAATGAATATGACCTAAATTAGTGGGAAATATTGTTGTGATCTGACAATAAGTGAAATAAAACTTAATTACTGAAGGCAATATAAGAACACAGACCCACAGGCCCTAAGGCTCATGGCTTTACATGCTGAGCCACCAGGCAAAAAGTCTGATTTTGATAGGAAGGGAGGGATTTACTTGTGTCTGTCCTCACTGTCTTGGCCTATAACCAGTTTTATCTACTTAAAAGCCCCTTTCAGCTGTTTGCACAGTTACCCAGGAGTCTCTTTAATACTCACAGCTCCTACTATGAACAATTACATTGTAAAAATTAATTTATCAGAGTGAAATCTACACTTGGTAGTCCAACTCCTAAATCCCCATGGTACGGCATATGGTATTATAGGATTTCTTACATTATCCACTTTTATCTTGGAGTACTTCAAAATCCATTGAATGCATAGATATTTCTGCCACTCTCCAGTGTTCGAGATGAGGTTTTGATAAAACTATTTTTTTCACTTTTAAATAATGAGATATCTGGGTGTTGTCAAAGGGTAAATTTAAAAAAAAATGATTATAACTATAGATGATTATAATGGAATTTAACCATATGCAGTATCTTGCAAAAGCATTTAAGACTGTTGCATAGTTTTCATGTTCTGTTGCTTTAAAGCATGTAGTATTGACACTGAAGCAGTATATAAATCAATATTTATTATATTATTATAATACACTACACACAGTCAAAACAAAAACAAAAGAAGTACATTGATAAGTAATTAAGATGGAACACAAATGATTGCATAAGTCTTCAAAGCATTCAAATGCCATGGCAAACCTAACATAGGTGTACAATGTAACTATAACAGGCTCATTACCTTAACAAGTTTGTGTGTATGAATAGTGATTCTCATTAATTAAAAAAAAAAACTGTGTCTATACAGTCCCTCAGTGAGGTAGTGAATTTTAAGAAAATATTCAACCATGAAGACCAAGAAACTTTCAAAGCAACTCAGGGATAAAGTTGTTTACTTTCAGATCAGAAGGGAATAAAACATTTTAAAAGATGCTTCATTTCTCTTTGACAATGGTGACATTGATCATTATGAAGTCAAAGGCACACAGACACTGCCTAGATGAGGCTCTCCCTCCGAACAGAACAGTTGGGAAAGGAGGCAATTGGTTAGGGATTGTCACGGGAGGCTCAGCGTTTGGGAATGGAGAACTTTGTGTCAAATATGAAGGAACGCATAGCAACGAGAGATTTAATTGGTTTACCAGTATCACAGCTGCTAGAGGAGAGTGAATGTGTTTTTTTAATTACCTGAAAAATCAGAAACTGAAAAACAAATGCTGAAATTTACAACTTCTGGACTGGAGACAGTGATACAGCTGGTGGTAGCCTCTGCAATCCAAACAATGGAGGTGAATCTGTGGTAGAGAGTGAGACAGTGGGTTCTTCATCAGTTTAACTGGAGAAATGAGAACATCATGAGGGAAAATGAATTCCATCCATACCTGAAGTTGTCACTAACCTGTAATGCTGTAGGAGGGATACTCTTTGCAAACCATTTCCCACAGTTTTATCCAAGGGATAAAGGGACACTACTCTGTGGAGAGTAGAGGTTTCTTTGAAACAGAAGATGCCATTTTCTGGAATAAATGAAGAATTAGTAAGCAGGGAGTCATGCAGGTCCCTAGGGTACCTCACTGGCTCTTTGAAATAATCTGGGAGCTCAGGTTAAGCACTTCATATGGCAGATAAGTGTGTTATTAAAGAGTCACACCAACCTCCTGGTGGTGGCAAGAGAACTCTACTCAACAGTAAAAGTCAACTACCCAGAAATGTATGACAGCAATCTCTGTCAATGGTGCACAAAAGATTTCTCAAAGGGATCCTTCCCAGACCTTAGCCTAGAATAAGAAGTGAGCTATAGTGAATCATGAACCACAAGATATAATTAAAAACTATGTAGAAGTCTAAAATCAATTTTAAAATCAAGAACAGGAGGTATTTCTTTACTGTATGTATGGACCAAGCTACCCAGTCATTTTCTTGAAGATGATACCAAGGCGTCTTTCAAGACTGTCAAGAAACAGTTGGATGAGCTTTGAGTTTGGGTAAAGTCACAAGTCAGCCACTGATCAGTACTCTATGCATAAAAAGTTCAGCTTGATTTTTATCCAGCTGCATTGCTTGCGTTATTGAAAAACCCCAGAGCCAGGGAACAATAACATACTGTAAATACATTTGTTGCTAAGGTTACAAAATAATAGAATGATCAAAACATACAGTAAAAGCTAATAATGGAATTATTGTGTGATGTAGTTTGTAATGATGATGCAAAAGAAAACCAGATCTAAAAAAGCATGCTAGTCAGCTTTTATTTTGTTTTCTTTATCTGTAACAAAATTATCTGCTTGACTTCAGGATACAATAAAATAAATTGAGTTTTACTGTTGCTTGGCAAAGAGGTCAAATTAGTTGGTTTCCTCTTCGTCACTTTTCTTCCTGGTCCATTAAAGTCAAGACATGTCATTATTTTATTTTTGAATGTTACTAAACTTAGTCCTTGTCTCACACAAATTTAAATTAATGTTGTGGTTCTAATTATATCATAATGTTTAAGATGTGGAAAAACACCACAGAGGCTTACAAAAGACTTATACCACTACCTTCATTACAATACAGTGTCAAGAAGAGACAGGGAGGTATGGTAATCTTTCAGAATTCGAGAAATGAATAGGATACTGTTTGTGATAAGCTATGTTGTTTATATTGTAATTGTGACTGGCTAAAACTTTATTAAATTTGCAGGACATTTCCATTAAAACCCAACTTTTCACCTCTGTCTGGGTTATTGTGTTTTCAAACTGAGAAAGATAAAAGAATCGGATTTCCACAATTCCAGGAAGCTCACAAGTAGCATGAGGACAAGGAAGGAATTCTGTTGCAAAAAATACGTATTAAATAAAGAAACAACGTTATAAGACGTGTTTGTTTGTGTACAGTTAACGCTGTACTTTTATCAATTCATAGCTAGTAATGAATACATATTTACTTCATGGAATTTATATAATAAGTTATAATAGTAACTCAGGAGGAATGTTAGATCCCAATGTCTCACACATCTGCTCACCTATGCATATAAGTCTCACACCCAGGACTTTCTTTGGCATATCTCTCCTCTCGCATCCCATCACCCTCTCCCATCTACATGCTTGTGACAAACTTCCTTGTTCAGTCCTTGCAATTGTGGGCAGCCTAGCCAAGGCTGGATTCATTCCAAATATGGATTATTAAAGATGGTAATTAATTATTATCATTTATTCTCATGATATTGAAAGCATGGGCTTGCCTAGATAAAAAATAATACGCTTTTACTATCTTGCCTGAAACCTTTTACTTTCTGTGTCCCATTAGAGCCCATTCAAGAACCACGAGCCTCTCTCAGTGTACCTGTGGATATCAGCAGCCCCATCACATCAGACGAGGAGTATCTCAGCCCACTGGAGGAAGGGGTAGAATTTGGGGTGTCATCTTTTCGGGGGTTAGAGACCATGCGTATACCAGAGGCCGCAGAGCCCAAGAGCATCATTGAGACACATTTCAAGGAACCGCCTTCCTTTGAGGTGAAATAATCCACTGTTTGGTCTTGTCTTTTGCATCTATTTATTTTTTATAGACCATTTAGAACCCTACTGAAGTGCTTTTTGAATTTCAGATTGCCTAATACTTAACATTGTTATACTCTATGACATAGCTTTTTTAGAAACATGAGTTATGTAAATAAAAAAACCATTATCATTGTATCAAAACCAACTGAGGCTTTCCAGAATATCTGTAGTGCATACTCCTATTGTTGGAATCTGTTTGTTTACATACAGTACATGTTACACATAACATAAAGAAAGATCTGAATCACACAACTTTGATATTACTGCAGTCGATTAAAACAACAGCTGTTTTGCAAATACAATGATCTGGGAAAACAGGTATTAATTATGTTTCTGTTTTTCATCACTGTGAAAATGTCATAAAGAAAAAAGTATAAAATGGTGTCATAGTGGTTTGTGTTTAAGGAACCAGTGTTGTATTGTAATAGTATATGTTTAAATGCAAGGTTAAACATTTAAGAATTATTGTTGCAACCTTATTTGCTAAGTTAGTAACTATCATCAGTGTAGTAGGACTCATTCAGTTATGATATAAGAGATAAACAGTAATGGAAACATTTTGCTATTATTGTACACATTCATTCATGGAATATTATTTTAAAAGATATTACATTTTTTCTTTACATTGTTTGAATTTATTAAACTACCTCTATGTAGTCTATTTAATTCTGATTTACTGTTTTATAATAAAAACACAGCTCTTCAAATTTATTACCAAAAGCCACAGGAAGCATCCAGAATCTGTTGTGCATGATAAAGAACATAAATAATTGTAGTATAGTGAATTATTTTATTCTGTAATTATTTTTAAATAGATGGGCTTTCATGCGGTGTCATATGATTAGTATAACAGGCTTGTGTGCATTGTCTGTGTTGAAGTGTACAGTAAATACGTGGTATTGTGTACAGCCATAATTTATGTCCCAAGGAGGGACGAATGAAAAAAAAGGAAGACATGAAAATGCTTCAGTTGAATAATGAAAGAGTGATTGATTGTTGTTAGTGTGATTAAATACAACCTGTATGTGAGAGAATTTGCTTGTGAAAAGAAAACTATTAGAGGAAAAATTTTTGAAGGTGGGTCAGGTACAGTACATGAAGTGAAGAGACTGGTAGGGTATTTTCTAGGTGAATGTTGTTATGCTCTTGAAAGAGCTTATTGGAAGACAGGTCCCAGAAACATTCACAAGCAGTTTTGTTAATTAAATACATTTTTGGGTTGGTGAAAATGTAATACACTTATTGAAGAATTACAGAATTAATATACACATAGATACTGATGTATTACTGTTTTCATTCTAATAGTATATTTTTGTTTATGGAAAACAAGTTAACATAATAACATAATAAGCATGTCTTACATGCTGTGTGAAATTTCACTAGTTGTTTGAATATACTTGATAAACTTATACATTCAATTATTATACAGTAGATGAACAAGTAAAAGGTTTATTCCATGCTGAAAAAAGAAAATACACAAGAAAATACACAATGAAAAAATAACACTTTTAAAAATCATCAAGGTGCATGAAGAATAAAAGACAATTAATTAATATCTTGGCAGCGCTGAGGAGATGATTATTATTAAAGCCAGTAAGAAAGCAATCAATTAAAATTGTAACTAGTGAAACTATGATAAATCAAACAAGTCAATAAATCAATTCAAATCATTTAGCCATCATGCTGACACATGACAAAAGCAAGAGCATAAAAGTAAATGATGCGTATGTGTATCATTAAACAGACAAGCATTACAATTCATACATCACTAGGTATGGCATGGTGGTACTATGATTAGCTTTGCTGCCACTCTGGGATCCTGGGTTCAATTCTTTGGGTGCTATTTGCTTGGAGTTCTTCCTCTGGTTTGTGTGGGTTTCCACTTGGTGCTCCAGATTCTCCACAATCCAAAGGCAGGCTGGTAGGATGATCGTCATCTGTAAAATTGGCCCGGGTGTGAGCACGTGTTTGTGTGATCCCACTTTTTTATAACAGTGCACTTACAGTACCCCGCACAATGTCCTTTGAATAACAAAACTTAAATGGAATATTTCCATATATTTGTCAAGCTGTTTGATATATTCTTTCAGATGTATGTTTCTTATCTCACTTTAAAAACAACATTTAAATTGAAAAAAAAATTACCCAAGCCTGATTATAAGCAGGGATACTGTATGTTCATTTTGACAGGTATCTCTGAGTGACCAGGTAGTAACAGAAGGACAGGATGCCATCCTTTCTGTCTGTACTCACGGCGCACCCAAGCCCATGATTTATTGGTAGGTATCTCTTTAGGATTTAGTTTCCATTAATTATTTTGTTTTCAGTCAGTGCATTAATATTTGTCATTACGTTCTGTGAGAGGTACAGTAATTTTCCTAGTGGGTCCATAAACAGTTTGCTTCCAAATTAAATGGAATTAGTTCCATTTAGAAAATAATTTTAAAATAAATTGTTTTTAACTTGTTGTTTCATTATGCTGTAGGAGCTACAACATAATTAACCAAATGCTCTGGCAATCTGTTTTTAATATATTAATGCATTTTCATTTTCAGTTACGTTTTTCAATAGCTGAGCTTCTGTACTCTTTTGACCTTTACTAACAAAGATTAAGGAGGTTTCAAAGGTTCTTCCCTCTTCATATAGCATCACCAGTATTGATGTTTATTTTGTTTGCTTTTGGATCCCCCTTCCTAAGTTAATTGAAAAGTAAAATTAAATTGTATGTTTAAATCCTTTGAGCTTGAAACTTTGATTGGTTAGCTTTGGAGCATCCTGTTATGCGAATACAGTTTTCTTATTTACTTTTAGTGATTGCTCTTTCCTTTCTGTCACTGGTTTGTGTTCTGTGTAACAGTGCTTTAAGCATCTTTATGCATCTACAATAGTTTGTTATTTTAAATAAGAATATGTTCTCAACTGAGAATAGTTGGTTAAACTATATAATCCAATTTTTTAAACTGGCCTAGGCTGATCAATGTCTGCAACGATGTTTATGTATGGTTCGATTATTTACTTTTCACTGATTGTTCTTTTCTTTCTTTCGCTTTGTCTTCTGTGTAATATCGGCGTCATACGGACTTTTGTTAGCTTTTTTTAGAAAAGAGTGATCGGCTTTTGTTAGTATTTAGTGTTGTGAAGTGTATGATGCCGAATCCTAATAATGAGTTTCTTTGCTCCAGGCTGAGGAACAGAGTGACAATAAAGACTGACAGCCGACGGTGTGTATCTGAGGCAGAGGATGGCCGCTTTGAGCTGAAAATTGCAAAAGTAGAAAATTCAGATGCTGGGGTTTACACTTGTAAAGCCATCAATGAATACGGAATAAAGCAATGTGAATGCAAACTTGAGGTCAGAGGTAAGGGCAGCCATCCTTGGACACAAACCTTATTTTTTATTTTATTTTTTAAAATCTTTTTGCACTATGAGATGAGTTTCACAATGGTTTGTATGAAAAAGACTGAACGCTTATGTGTTGGTAACTCATAAAACTGAGGGGTGGAAAATATTAACCTGAAAGTCATAAACATATTCATGAAAGAAATTTCAGAATTAAATATGGTTTTATCACAAAAAGGAAACGTCAAGTCTTAAGGCACCTGAAAATTTTACTGTTCTAGGTTAAATATTTAACAAAAAAATATAGAAGAGGCTTACAAATATGTAATAACTTATTATTTAATAAATTAAATGTTTTTTGTATATAGATTTAAAATATTTTTGGTTAACGTCTGCTGTGTTTGCACAGTTATGGGTGCTACTAGGTTGTTAAATTTAAACATATATCCAAAATACATTTGCCATATTCAGACTCCAAATGCACAATTTCATTTCTTAGTGGAAAGTGCTACTTTAAGTGAGAAATTACATTTCCATATTGTGTGTGACTAAAGAAAACTTGTTTTAATATACGCTTTAAATTAAAAAGGCCTGTAAAAAGGCCTCTTTTAACTCTCTTTTAACAGAGTTAACAAGCCTCTATTTCATGTTGAAAGCATTACCCTTTGTACTGCAATTCAACGTACTACATCAGAACAAGTACCAGCAGCACAATTCAGAAATTGCTAATGGTTTGTTGATGAGGTATGGCAATTGACATCTTCATCTAGTGGAGAATTACAAATTATGTATAGAGCCATATACATTTAAAACACTTTAAAAGAAGTATACAAATACATACAAATAGTATGAAAATAAACAAAATGCGAGGAGAGTGATTCTGAAAGCCCAAAAGAAAGGCATCAAGAACAGCTACATACATACTGTGCATTGCAAAAGTATTCAAACCCTTGCAGAGTTTTCACATTTTGTAACTTTAAATCCTGTAGTCATGGCACTTTGAAATAGAAATATTATACACAACCCATTTTGCACAGTAAACATTTGAAAATTGTTCTTTAAAAATCAAAAACCTTTGATTGCATAATTATTCAAACCCTTTGCTGTGGAGAAGCTAAATTAATGTAGGTTCACAAAATTACCTTAATGAGACACAACTTGTAGTGTGGCCTCTGTCTATGTTCAGTAATTGAGGTTTAATTTAATCAATACTAAACTAAAAATAATACTAATAAATACATCTATATCTGTAAGGTAATTCAGTCAGTGAATTTCAAGCCAAGATTCAACGTTGAAGACTAATGAATTTTCAAAATGACGCAGGGATAAAGTTGAAGACTAAGACGATAGTGTAAAAATCATCCATGAACATCCATGTGAGCACTGTAAATTAGACCGTTGAGAAGTGGAAGGTGCACGTTTAACCCTGACATAGTCTAAACCAGGCTATCCCTCCAAACAGCAGCTGAGCAAGGGATGTCACTGTGAGATCAAAAATGACTTTGATAAATCTACAGAGTGGAATAGCTGAAGTGAGGAAATGAATATGGTCAAAGCTTGCCTGTACAGAAGAATGGCAAGAAGCACGACATTACTGAAAAAAATATCAAATCCTGCATGGAGTTTGCAAAAAAAGCATTTTAGTGATAATGTAAATGTGGCAAGATATGTTTAGTGGTTAGAGAACACAAAATCGGAGCATTTTGGGCTGAATGCAAAATGTTACATCTAGTGCAAACAACACAATCAACACCATTCCTACTGTCAAGCATGATATTGCCAGCATTATGTTATGGGGCTGCTTCTCACCAGCAGAGGCTGAGAAGCTTGTGAAGATCATTGCAAACATAGATGGAGGAAAGTATGGCACATTTGAGAGGAAAACCTGCTTCAGTCAGCTACAGATCTAAATTCGGGATGTAAATTCAATTTTTTAGCAGGACAAATATCCAAAGCACATGGACAAAACTGTACTTTATGGGCTTAAGAATAGGACAGTGAATGAATGTCCTTGTGTCCTGTCATGACTTTAAGTGGAAGGACTAGAAAACTGCTGTAAAAGAGTGATCCTCAAGAGAGCTTGAACAAATCTGCATAAAGGAGTTCACAGGTCTGAATACTAATGCAATCAGCATTGAGGTTTTTTCTGTACAGTTTATTTTGATATCTACTGTGACTTATTTTTGAATAAAATATTAAGTGTCACTGAAAGAATATAGTGCTAGTAAAGAATGGGAAATGGGTGCCTGACCACATTGGGAACCCTGAATAGAGACAGGACCAGTCATTGGCCTTATGGGTTGGCTGACTCAGCAGTCTCCAGGGCCTGAAAACAGACAACATTGAATCGCTGAGAATTACTTTGAGAGGCGCTGCCTCATGACTGGGACTGAGACAGGATGAGATGGAAAGATGGAAAGCAAAGGAGCTGCTGAGGATAGTGTGGCTGGAGGACTTCTCTGATAATGCTGTGAGAACCTCCCCAAGAGGGGTCGAAGTAGCACTATCAGCCCAAAGGAAGAGAGCTTCAATTACCTCTAAAGATGGACAAAACCAAAGGGCATGAATGCTACGTAAAGGTCTGACTGTTCAGTGGAGAGCAAAAATCACCTTAAGTGCTAATTAGTAGCAGGTATGCTCACAATGGACAAACGGTGAGCTGAAATATCTGTCAGAGCAGAGTGAATGTAAAAATTTACTGCAAGGAGACAATCAGAGCTAAGGTGTTGATGAGATGGAAGTCCAGATGGGCTTGAACTGCAGGGGTGGCTGCTCCAATTCTGAGGGACTGTAGAGCCACGGGTTGAAACTGAACTTATTGAATAAGACAGATGTGTGGAGAACCAGCATATACAGTAGATACTACTGAGGGAGAAATGAACAATAGGTTGACTGCAGGAGAGGACTACTTGTTCAAAGCTTCAGTATGTCAAGTTAAGTAAAGCTGCAGATGCAGTGGCTCCTGCCTGCCTAAAGGAGTGGGGAGTAATAGTAGTGGCTAAGATAAACTCTAGTAGTTCAGGTGGGTAGCTGCGTCAGCATGTGTAGGCTGCAAAGGAACAAGTAATAGGTTTATTCCATGCTGAAAAAAAGAAGAAAGAGAACACAACGTTTCGGCCGTGGAGCCTTCTTCAGGTGTGAGACAGGGCAGTAGGAAAAGGTAAAGTAGCGGGAGAACAAAGGTTGCGGGAGAACAAAGGTTGGGAAAACAAAGGTAAAGTAGCGGGAGAACAAAGGTTGGGGTCCCAACCTTTGTTCTCCCGCTACTTTACCTTTGCCTACTGCCCTGTCTCTCTCACACCTGAAGAAGGCTCCACGGCCGAAACGTTGTGTTCTCTTTCTTCTTTTTTTCAGCATGGAATAAACCTATTACTTGTTCCTAAGATAAACTCTGTTGGCTCAGATATGCAGTTGAGAAGAAATTGATCAAGAGTGCTGGCTATAATTAAATCAATGGAGATTGCGGTGCTGTGGGCTGAAACGTCCACACAGACCAGTTCAGACGACACCAGGCAAGCAGTGTGCACAAATGGCTTGATAAAGAGATGCACATTTGCTCTGGAGAAGATGGAATTCTGGAATTTGAACAGAGGAGAGAGCATTGGATGAGTGAAACAAGAAAAGAGCATTAACAGCTGGAATACAGATTCTTGGAACATATCGAGACAAAATAAGGAAGTAGTGTTACACCACGCCACCGGAGGACTCGTCATTCCACCTCGCATTCCAACACAGTTCCCAATTAGCCCATTTACCCCAGCCTATTTAATGCTGCTTCACGCTCTCCCCTGTGCTCAGTATTAGGTTTTTCCTGGTTAGAGCTACCTCGACTTCTCGCAATTAATGACTTCTTGGTTTTTGGCTTCCTGACCCTGATTCGTTCTCTGACTACGTCTCCTGGTTTTGTTTTGGTACTTTGGTTATCATTCTGGCTTTGACTCTTGGCTTCCTCACGGCTTACGGCTCTGCTTCTGATTTTGTTCTTTTGCATCGGTTTGCTTACCTTCGGCTTTTGGACCTTGGACTGTTTAATCGACTACGCCTCTGGAGTTCGTCCTAGTTTTTCTGCAAAGGGTCCTCATTAATATTCCCTGAAAAGTCATTGAGAACCGAAATCAAAGCAGGGAGTCATAGACTTCAGAAAAGATGTCCTTAATACAAGATCTGTGTTAGCAAAAGATAAAAGCAGAAACAGTTTGGAGAGTTGAAAACTCAGAGATCTGTTGGGGGAAAGCTTGATGTAGCACGGATAACAGATTATGCAGATCTTGTAAATCTGAGAATAAAAGCAATTGAATTTGTTTCATTGATGATTGCCTAAGAGATGGCACCATGCTGTCTTGGGATAGGAATGCTGATAGAGAATATCGCCCAGCATAAGCTTTCTTGAAGGTTCTGATTTTATTGGATTCTGTGGAATGATAGCAGAACTATAGGATATAAAATGCAGGATAGGATGGTCAATCAGATTCAGACTTCAAACAAGTTCAAGATGTGCACATTAATAGAGCTTGGGAGAGAGAGTTCATGGGAATCTAAAAAGGAAAATCAGTTAATCGAATTGTGTCTGTGATCCTGTCCATAAGGGTGTTCATTGTTTCAGGATAGGAATCAAGGATCGGAGGTACAGATTTCTGGATTCCAGGAAGTGATGCAGGAATAGAAAGCAGGTTAGGACAGTTTATTGGCTAAAACTTTGCAATAAAATTGGATTTTGGAGAGATGAGAGTGTCGTGCAAGTGATGAGGCCAATGCATAGGGAATTGAGGTAGTCTGATTAAGGTGCTGAAGATAAAATATGCTGTCAAAGCAGAAAAGAGTAGTGGGTAGATGTTACATGGGCTGCTGAACGTTTTGTGTAGAGCAGGCCAGAGAGAGAAATTTTAGTCTAAAACCAGATGTTAGGCAGAAGTCAGGGGCCTGAGGAGAGGAAATGCCGAGGGCATTGGGTTACAGAAGTTGAAGTTTGAGATCTAGAAGTAGCAACAAAGTAGCCATAAAATCAGATGGGAGGATAAT